AGCAGCAGTCTCATGGACACGGCCGATCCAAGGGAGACACAGAGCGACCCTGGCCCAAGGGTGGCCTCGCCTGAAGAAGGCGATACGAAGGCCGAATCCTCTGATCAGGAAGAGAAGCCTGCCGTTGTTGATGATGTGGCTGCTCCCGTTTCGGTCGCAACCCCTGCCACTGAAGGCGGTGCTGATGCCAGCTTGCCTGCAGAAGGCACAGGTGCTGCAAGCAGCTTGCCTGCAGAAGGCATTTCTGGCCACGACACGTTGAGTATCGCGACAGAAGAATCGTGGGAGGTGCAGTCGCACATGTCGCAATCCGCGATGAGTGTGAACACCTCGGGCTGGAATGTCGTCCATGAGGCGGACTACACGGGCTAATTAAGCCTGTCGTTTTGTGGCAGTGGCTGCCTTGCCTGCAAAAGGCATAGCCAAGTAGCTTTGAACACGTGCAGACGGCACCGGTCCGCAGCTGTGAAAAAAATTCCGTCGTGCCGGGGTTCGGGGCTTGAGGGTTTGAGGGTTATAACTTGTAAGGTGTTACTTCAGATGGTTTCGGTTCACGTGTTTGCTAGGATGTGTCTTTCAAGGTGTATAGGTTTAGGGTCCATATTAAGGCGAAACCCGGAACAATATTGAACCCTAAACAAACCCCCTTGAAGGCTGCAGGGCCCCAAGCCTTAGAGCACCGATAAAAACCTAAAACCCTTAAATCCCTAAGCCCTAAACCCCTGAAGCCCTTTAAAGCACCGCATAAAAACCCACAGCCCTTAAAACCCTAAACCCTAAACCCCTAAAGCCCCAAAACCCTAAACCTTTGCTCCGAAAGCCCCGAAGCCACGAAGCAGCAGCCCTCCAGACCTGAAGCCCCCAGCCGCGAAAAAATCAGAGCCCCCAGGATGGGCTTAGGCCCAGTGCGGCAGGAAAAAAAGTTCCTACAGGAACTTTTTTCAGGAACTTTTTTCAAGAACTTTTATATGAACTTTTATCTTTTCTTAGGTTTGTAATAATAAAGCCGAAAAGTTCCTATAGGAACTTTCCGCTGGGAAGTTCCTGGAGGAACTTTTTTAGGAACTTTTGGCTGGCCTCGGGCTTGGGCCTGGCTGCGGATTTCAACCAGGATTTCAGTTGAAGCATTTAGGCTCAAGCTGACGGTTTTAGAGATCAGGACGATGGCCGGTGCCTCCAAGATGAAAAAGCCTGCTGCCCTGGAGCAGGCCTTGCCTGAGCAAGGCAAGGAGAAGAAGCCTCCTGGCCGGGACAAGGCCTTGCCTGAGCAAGGCAATGCAGGCAACGGCGGCTTGCCTGCAGAAGGCACAGTGAAGGCTGAGCCCAANNCCAAGGCTCCCCCGCTGAAGCTGGAGGTGCTGAGCCCGAAGAAAGGGGCTAACCCGAATAGGGCTGCCACGGCTGCCGCCAAGGCTCACCCGAAAATCGGGCAGTCCGAAGCGAAGAAGATGAACCAGAAGCTGAAGGCTCTGACCAAGGCCGGCAAGACGGCCCTGCCTGAGGCTTTTGCTAAGTGCAAAAGCCAGGCAGAGAAGAGACAGTTTTTTTACGAGGTGTATCTGCTGGATCCCGAAATCTCTGCGAAGAGGGTCGCGAAGAAAGACTTGCAAGCAGAGGAGGACAGAGACGACACCCAGAAGGGCTGGTTCACAGACGACGAGATCGCCAGCTTCAAGGGGATTTTCCCTCACACGAGTGAGAGTGACTACTCTAGCCTGAAGAAGGCTTGTGTTCAGGACTTGCTCGAGAGAGAGCATGAGGACGAAAACTTAGCCAAGTTGGGAATCAAGCAGTACTACTTCGAGCACAGCAAGACTTTCAGCAGCTCAAGCAAGAAAAGAATGCTTGAGCTGGACGAGAACGTTCAGGACGTGAGCCAGGAGGATTTTGAAGAAATCCGCAAGAAGCTCAAGGGGGCG